TGAATTGTTATAGAACCCAAATATCTAATTCATGGTCTTTGCCCGGGTCCTTCTCCGCCGCGACAGAGACCAGGACTTCTGACAGTTTTATGACGGGCTCTGTCTCTGAACGGGGATTACTCTGGAAACATTATGGACTAAATATATTATCGTCTCCGTATCACTGTAAACAAATGTGTAACGATCTACAGAGACAACAGACGCTTCCCTGTGCGGTCTGTGCTGTCTGTGTCTGTGCTGTCTGTGTCTGTGCTGTCTGTGTCTGTGCTGTCTGTGTCTGTGCTGTCTGTGATGTCTGTGATGTCTGTGCTGTCTGTGATGTCTGTGATGTCTGTGCTGTCTGTGATGTCTGTGATGTCTGTGATGTCTGTGATGTCTGTGTCTGTGCTGTTTGTGTCTGTGCTGTCTGTGTCTGTGCTGTCTGTGTCTGTGCTGTCTGTGATGTCTGTGATGTCTGTGCTGTCTGTGATGTCTGTGATGTCTGTGATGTCTGTGCGGTCTGTGCTGTCTGTGTCTGTGCTGTCTGTGTCTGTGCTGTCTGTGTCTGTGCTGTCTGTGTCTGTGCTGTCTGTGATGTCTGTGATGTCTGTGATGTCTGTGCTGTCTGTGTCTGTGCTGTCTGTGCTGTCTGTGATGTCTGTGCTGTCTGTGATGTCTGTGCTGTCTGTGCTGTCTGTGTCTGTGCTGTTTGTGTCTGTGCTGTCTGTGCTGTCTGTGTCTGTGCTGTTTGTGTCTGTGCTGTCTGTGTCTGTGCTGTCTGTGCTGTCTGTGCTGTCTGTGTCTGTGCTGTTTGTGTCTGTGCTGTCTGTGTCTGTGCTGTCTGTGCTGTCTGTGCTGTTTGTGTCTGTGCTGTCTGTGCTGTCTGTGTCTGTGCTGTCTGTGCTGTCTGTGCTGTCTGTGCTGTCTGTGTCTGTGCTGTCTGTGTCTGTGCTGTCTGTGTCTGTGCTGTCTGTGATGTCTGTGATGTCTGTGATGTCTGTGTCTGTGCTGTCTGTGTCTGTGCTGTCTGTGCTGTCTGTGTCTGTGCTGTCTGTGTCTGTGCTGTCTGTGCTGTCTGTGCTGTCTGTGTCTGTGCTGTCTGTGTCTGTGCTGTCTGTGCTGTCTGTGATGTCTGTGTCTGTGTCTGTGCTGTCTGTGTCTGTGCTGTTTGTTGTCTGTGCTGTTTGTGTCTGTGCTGTCTGTGTCTGTGCTGTCTGTGTCTGTGCTGTCTGTGCTGTCTGTGTATGTGCTGTCTGTGTCTGTGCTGTTTGTGCTGTCTGTGCTGTCTGTGCTGTCTGTGTCTGTGCTGTCTGTGTCTGTGCTGTCTGTGTCTGTGCTGTCTGTGTCTGTGCTGTCTGTGTCTGTGCTGTCTGTGTCTGTGCTGTCTGTGCTGTCTGTGATGTCTGTGATGTCTGTGTCTGTGCTGTCTGTGTCTGTGCTGTTTGTGTCTGTGCTGTTTGTGTCTGTGCTGTCTGTGTCTGTGCTGTCTGTGTCTGTGCTGTCTGTGTCTGTGCTGTTTGTGTCTGTGCTGTTTGTGCTGTCTGTGCTGTCTGTGTCTGTGCTGTCTGTGTCTGTGCTGTCTGTGTCTGTGCTGTCTGTGTCTGTGCTGTTTGTGTCTGTGCTGTCTGTGTCTGTGCTGTCTGTGCTGTCTGTGTCTGTGCTGTTTGTGTCTGTGCTGTCTGTGCTGTCTGTGTCTGTGCTGTCTGTGTCTGTGCTGTCTGTGTCTGTGCTGTTTGTGTCTGTGCTGTCTGTGTCTGTGCTGTCTGTGCTGTCTGTGTCTGTGCTGTTTGTGTCTGTGCTGTCTGTGCTGTCTGTGTCTGTGCTGTCTGTGTCTGTGCTGTTTGTGTCTGTGCTGTCTGTGCTGTCTGTGCTGTTTGTGTCTGTGCTGTCTGTGTCTGTGCCGTCTGTGCTGTTTGTGTCTGTGCTGTCTGTGTCTGTGCTGTCTGTGCTGTCTGTGTCTGTGCTGTTTGTGTCTGTGCTGTCTGTGCTGTCTGTGTCTGTGCTGTCTGTGTCTGTGCTGTTTGTGTCTGTGCTGTCTGTGCTGTCTGTGCTGTTTGTGTCTGTGCTGTCTGTGTCTGTGCCGTCTGTGCTGTTTGTGTCTGTGCTGTCTGTGCTGTCTGTGTCTGTGCTGTCTGTGCTGTCTGTTGCCGCCTGTGCCGTCTGTGCGGTCTGTGTCTGTCATTTCTTATGTGTTTTGCTGCCGAGGGTCCACGGATGAAAACTAGCTTAGTGGCTATAATCCGGCATATTTACTTTTGTTTTATCCTGATGTTCATTAATGTGCATTGTCCACTAAAAACATGCACAATGGTCTGAGTGTAAAGAGTGAATGGAGGGTGTTTGGTCGGAGGCTTTGATGGTCCAGTGTGTTCTGGTCTCGCTTCTGTCATCACTGTGTGGAGAGACTGGAACTATATCTGAACTTTGTGAAGAGTGGTTAGGGTGGTCCTGGGTTTGAATCCCGGTTGAAACGAGGTCTTTCCGAGTGGGGTTTGCATGTTCTCCCCGTGCTTTACCTTTGGGTCGGTACGTTTGTCTGTAAAACGTGCTATATAGATAAACATTACTCACTTACTGGGCTGCAGCTGTGACTGTCCCAACCCAGGAATGGATTAAGGGGAAGAAAATGAATGGATGGATACTTTACTTACAATTTTTCAGATTCAGATTCAGATTCATTTATTGGCCATGTGCAGTATAAAAACTACATTGGAATACATTTGCAAAAAAGGTACTCTGTGCACCGACAGAATAAAGAGCACAATACAATGTAATATAAAATACACATACATTGAATATAAAAGAATAAAAAAACAGCTGACACTGTGGCACCGATCAACAAAACAATACAAGGGGTAAAAGCAGGAATTAAAGTGCTCTGTTTAGGCACCTAACAGCCTGTGGAAAGAAGCTGTTAGCATAGCGAGATGTCTTGCATCTCAGCGACCGATATCTTCTGCCAGAGGGAAGAAGCTGGAACATTGCTTTCCCAGGGTGGCCAGAAGAGTCACCGATGATTTTAAGAGCTTTGTTTAAAAGTCTGGATTTATAAAGAACCTCCAGAACAGGAAGCTCACAGCCCACGGTCCTCTTTGCAGAGCGGAGCACCTTGTTTAAAGCTCTCTTTTCTTTATTTCCAAACCACACAGACACAGAACCAACAAGTAAACTCTCAATGGTGCAGCCATAAAAATTAAACAGAATCTTAGAGTTAGTGGTAAATTCTCTAAGTTTCCGCAAAAAGAAGAGCCGCTGACGTGCTTTCTTAACAACCCGGTCAGTGTTTTTAACCCATTTCAGGTTAGACAGAGTTAAACCCAGAAACTTGCACTCCTCTACGATCTGCACCTGGGAGTTGTCGATAACAACAGGAGTGTGAGAACTGCTACGACTGAAGTCATAGACAAGTTCACATGTTTTTGCAGTGTTCAGCTGGAGATTGTTTACTTTACTCCACTGAAAAACATGTTCGATCTCTGCTCTATAAGAGGAATCATCATTGTCACTGATGAGACCGATGATGGTGGTGTCATCAGCATATTTGATGATCAAGTTTGAGTCAGAGGAGGACACTTTGTTTGAGTGTACAAAGTAAAAAGCAAAGGACTCAAAATACATCCCTGAGGAGAACCAGTGCTCACAGAAACAACATCAGAAAAACACTCATTGATTTTCACTCTCTGAGATCTGTCAGTTAAAAAGCTAAAAATCCAAATTTTTGACTTATTTTTCGTCACTTTTTGCAGTGCAGTGTCTTTTCGACCAATGTTTTGTCTCAGCTCATGTGCTCTTGATCATAAGAAAGTCATAGAGTAGAACATTAGAGACGTAGAGAATAGAGACAAAGTAAGAATCAACAAACTATTCTGAAATATAGAAATTAAAATCATTAAAATTATTACCACAAACAAACAATTGTGATGTTTTTATCGTGAGACTTAGTTTGACACAAAACGTTTGAAGAGAGTTAAAAGCACTCATAAAATAATCTCTCTACGTCTGCGATCTGACTTCCTGAAATCAAATGAATCCCCGAATATTTCTCAATAATGTTAAAAAACTTCCTAAACCCGTCCGTGAACGCTGCAGCTCTGTCCATCGTCACCACGGCAACACATAAAAATGTTTTGACACTTTCTGGTTGCTCTCACTGGTTTCCCATAAAAGATATTGACTTTCACTTGAACGTACATTTATGTGAACGCTTTTACCCACACTGCAATTATGTAATGGGGTTTTAGTGGTCACTTCCTTTTCAGACCCCATTATTGCCCATTATTGCCCATTATTGCCCATTATGGCCCATTATTGCCCATTATGGCCCATTATTGCCCATTATTGCCCATTATGGCCCATTATTGCCCATTATGGCCCATTATGGCCCATTAATGCCCATTAATGCCCATTAACTGCTTCCTGAAGGAGTTTCACTTTCAGGCCACTTCCTCTGCGCGGCGTCCATCACTGTTTCGGCCATTTTGACATTTCACTAATCTGACCAGAAGTAAACTAAAAATTAAATTATAGAGTATTTGTTCAATCCAATCCACTTTAAATATATAGCACATTCTATAAAAACGAGATAAAAGTAACATATTTAAATATACAGGTTTGCCAGTTTTTAATGTTAAAAAAATAAGAAAAATGGAAAAAGTTAAACATCATGTAGGCAGTAAAATCAAGAATCAGACTTTTACAGTGTGGATTTGGGGCAACAGTGGCTCGGGGGGTGATGGTTGTGGGTTCAATCCCCCCATGGGACCTACTCCATCTGCTCCCACTGACGTCGTTGTGTCCCTGGGCAAGACACTTTGCCTGAAGCCCCAGCTCACCCAAAGGTTCTGTCTCGTCTATGGTTCTGTCTCGTCTATGGTTCTGCCTGCCTCTCACAAAGACGGTTGCAGATTCCATTTCCTTTGCCGGCCCGGGTCTTTCCATCTGGGTGGGTTTCCTCCGAGTGCTCCAGGTTCCACTGACTCTCAGATGTGTAGTGTCTGTGGGAGCTGCAGCTGCATTACATAATGGTGTTTTTGGCGGGAACAGGAACTGTCGGGTCAAACGGCAGGACAGACCTAGGACAGACCCAGGACAGACCCAGGACAGACCCAGGACAGACCCAGGACAGACCCAGGACCGACCCAGGACCGACCCAGGACCGACCAAGGACCGACCCAGGACAGACCCAGGACAGACCCAGGACAGACCCAGGACAGACCCAGGACAGACCCAGGACAGACCCAGGACAGACCCAGGATAGACCCAGGATAGACCCAGGACCGACCCAGGACCGACCCAGGACAGACCCAGGACCGACCCAGGACAGACCCAGGACAGACCCAGGACAGACCCAGGACAGACCCTGGACAGACCCAGGACAGACCCAGGACAGACCCAGGACAGACCCAGGACAGACCCAGGACCGACCCAGGACAGACCCAGGACCGACCCAGGACAGACCCAGGACAGACCTAGGACAGACCCAGGACAGACCCGGTGGCACGGTGGCTGAGTGGATAGCACTCTCGCCTCTCAGCAAGAAGGTCCTGGGTTCGAATCCCGGTGGGACCAGGGCCTTTCTGAGTGGAGTTTGCATGTTCTCCCCGTGTCTGCGTAGGTTTCCTCCGGGTACTCCGGTTTCCCCTACCACTAAAAATATGTCCAATAGTTCTGGCATGTGCCTCCTGTACTGGCCCCTCCCATCTCTGTGTGGAGTGAGAGACAAATGCCCAAAATTAACAATTGTAAACCGCTTTGAGACTCAGATCTGCAGTGAAAAGGCGGTATATAAATAAAAACTTACTTACTTACTTACTTACCCAGGACAGACCCAGGACAGACCCAGGACAGACCCAGGACCGACCCAGGACAGACCCAGGACAGACCCAGGACAGACCCAGGACAGACCCAGGACAGACCCTGGACAGACCCAGGACAGACCCAGGACAGACCCAGGACAGACCCAGGACAGACCCAGGACAGACCCAGGACAGACCCAGGACCATGTCTCTCAGCTGGTCTGGGAACGCATCAGGATTTGGAGGAGAGGGAAATCTGGGCACCTCTGGAAGCCCGGCCATGGATAAAGTGGAAGAATACAATCCAATTTTTAGTTGACGAATAAATCTTAACTGATTAATCGACCTAACGACTAAAGAAGACAGCCCTGAAGAATACATAAAGAGCAAGAATTTACCTAAAGTTTCAAGTACAGTAGAAATTAATCTGTTTGCAAGTGGACATTTCATATCACGTATACATGTGTTATTATTATTATTATTATTATTATTTTATTATTATTATTATTATTATTGTATTATTATTATTTTATTATTATTATTTTATTATTATTATTTTATTATTTTATTGTTATTATTGTTATTATTATTATTTTATTATTATTATTTTATTATTATTATTATTATTATTATTTTATTATTATTATTACGATTATTAAACCTGTGAAACATTGTATTTCTCCTTTAAACAAACATCTGTCCACGTTCTGCTCTTCCTCCCTTTAGCCTCGCTGCTCTAATTACCCGGGATTTGGAAGGTATCTGTCAATTCCGTTTTTATCTGCGGCGAGGTCAAGACCAGGCCAGAACTTTCCACGGTGAAGATAAAGAAGCAACACAGAGCAGGGCCGCGGCTAAAACCAGATAATTGGGAAATATTACGGTTAAAAGACGGAGGGGAAGCTGCAGGATACACTTCAAAGTCTATTCTTACCTTTCTGAGTTCACGTCCCAGAGACACAGACGTCTCCACGGAGTCTCCGCAGTAACAAGCTGCTCTAATTAATTGCTAATGAGTGGTTTAAAGGGGAAGTGTGTGATGCAGGAGGGAGGGTTTAAAGGCACCCTCTGGGACCTCTCTGGGACCTCTCTGGGACCTCTCTGGGACTTCTCTGGGACCTCTCTGGGACCTCTCTGGGACTTCTCTGGGACTTCTCTGGGACCTCTCTGGGACCTCTCTGGGACCTCTCTGGGACTTCTCTGGGACTTCTCTGGGACTTCTCTGGGACTTCTCTGGGACCTCTCTGGGACCTCTCTGGGACCTCTCTGGGACCTCTCTGGGACCTCTCTGGGACTTCTCTGAGACTTCTCTGAGACTTCTCTGAGACTTCTCTGAGACTTCTCTGGGACCTCTCTGGGACCTCTCTGGGACCTCTCTGGGACCTCTCTGGGACCTCTCTGGGACCTCTCTGGGACCTCTCTGGGACTTCTCTGGGACCTCTCTGGGACCTCTCTGGGACCTCTCTGGGACCTCTCTGGGGACATCTCTGGGACCTCTCTGGGACATCTCTGGGACCTCTCTGGGACATCTCTGGGACCTCTCTGGGACCTCTCTGGGACCCCTCTGGGACTTCTCTGGGACCTCTCTGGGACCTCTCTGGGACCCCTCTGGACTCTCATGGCGCTTATGTTAGTCTCCCCAAAGAGAGGATGATCTTTTTATAATGCTCGACACAGTTTTACAGAGATGTCTTTATTTGGATCTGTTGAAGGTTACCCACATTTCCAAAGGAGGCAGTGAAAAATAGGCCCATTTTTAACTGTTTTAGAGCTGGATATTTGGGATTTATTTAAGAAGAAGAAGGTCCTTTATTCATCCCTTAGTGGGAAAGTTTCAGATGGATAAATACACACAAACACATTTACTTTAGTTTATTTCAAAGGGACAATGCCATTTTATAAGACACACGATAAAACATTAGTTAAAAAAGCCAGAATTAGCCACAGAGGTTATTTTCCATCTGTAGTCCTCTGGCCCTGATGTTAAAAAGACACTAAAATACATTAACATGACAAAAAAACAAGAGACATCACGAATCACGACTAACTTTTTAGACACATTAAACAATATTCGTTCAACAATAAATTGTGTTGTAATGTATATAACGCATTCCGTCTCTGCTCAGACTGCTGCCCGTGTTACCCGGCAACGGATGAAGAGGAAGAGAATGGATGGACATTTAGACAATAAATAGATTAGTGTTTGTAAAATGTTCAGAGACGGTTTCTTTAGTCCAGGGGTGCTCAGTGCGTCGACAAAGGTCGTGTTATCGCATTGCATTAAAAACTTATCCGTTTATACATTTGCTGTTGACAGAGAACCACAGTCTGCCCCAAAACAACAACCTCTGATCACTGAAGAAGGACCTGACTGCATTAAAAACTAAAGCAGGACTAAACCAGGACTAAAGCAGGACTAAAGCAGGGCTAAACAGGACTAAAGCAGGTCTAAAGCAGGTCTAAAGCAGGACTAAACCAGGACTAAAGCAGGACTAAAGCAGGGCTAAAGCAGGACTAAAGCAGGTCTAAAGCAGGTCTAAAGCAGGACTAAAGCAGGACTAAAGCAGGACTAAAGCAGGGCTAAAGCAGGACTAAAGCAGGTCTAAAGCAGGACTAAAGCAGGTCTAAAGCAGGACTAAAGCAGGTCTAAAGCAGGGCTAAAGCAGGACTAAAGCAGGACTAAAGCAGGGCTAAAGCAGGACTAAAGCAGGACTAAAGCAGGACTAAAGCAGGACTAAAGCAGGACTAAAGCAGGGCTAAAGCAGGACTAAAGCAGGTCTAAAGCAGGACTAAAGCAGGTCTAAAGCAGGACTAAAGCAGGTCTAAAGCAGGCTAAAGCAGGACTAAAGCAGGTCTAAAGCAGGACTAAAGCAGGTCTAAAGCAGGCTAAAGCAGGACTAAAGCAGGACTAAAGCAGGCTAAAGCAGGACTAAAGCAGGACTAAAGCAGGCTAAAGCAGGACTAAAGCAGGACTAAAGCAGGGCTAATGCAGGACTAAAGCAGGGCTAAAGCAGGACTAAAGCAGGACTAAAGCAGGGCTAAAGCAGGACTAAAGCAGGACTAAAGCAGGACTAAAGCAGGACTAAAGCAGGACTAAAGCAGGGCTAAAGCAGGACTAAAGCAGGACTAAAGCAGGTCTAAAGCAGGACTAAAGCAGGACTAAAGCAGGGCTAAAGCAGGACTAAAGCAGGACTAAAGCAGGACTAAAGCAGGACTAAAGCAGGTCTAAAGCAGGACTAAAGCAGGACTAAAGCAGGACTAAAGCAGGACTAAAGCAGGGCTAAAGCAGGACTAAAGCAGGACTAAAGCAGGGCTAAAGCAGGACTAAAGCAGGGCTAAAGCAGGGCTAAAGCAGGACTAAAGCAGGACTAAAGCAGGGCTAAAGCAGGACTAAAGCAGGGCTAAACAGGACTAAAGCAGGTCTAAAGCAGGACTAAAGCAGGTCTAAAGCAGGGCTAAACAGGACTAAAGCAGGTCTAAAGCAGGACTAAAGCAGGTCTAAAGCAGGGCTAAAGCAGGACTAAAGCAGGACTAAAGCAGGGCTAAAGCAGGACTAAAGCAGGACTAAAGCAGGGCTAAACAGGACTAAAGCAGGACTAAAGCAGGTCTAAAGCAGGACTAAAGCAGGGCTAAACAGGACTAAAGCAGGACTAAAGCAGGGCTAAAGCAGGACTAAAGCAGGACTAAAGCAGGACTAAAGCAGGACTAAAGCAGGGCTAAAGCAGGGCTAAAGCAGGACTAAAGCAGGGCTAAACAGGACTAAAGCAGGACTAAAGCAGGGCTAAAGCAGGACTAAAGCAGGACTAAAGCAGGCCTAAAGCAGGTCTAAAGCAGGACTAAAGCAGGACTAAAGCAGGACTAAAGCAGGGCTAAAGCAGGGCTAAAGCAGGACTAAAGCAGGACTAAAGCAGGGCTAAAGCAGGGCTAAACCAGGGCTAAAGCAGGGCTAAAGCAGGACTAAAGCAGGTCTAAAGCAGGACTAAAGCAGGACTAAAGCAGGGCTAAAGCAGGACTAAAGCAGGACTAAAGCAGGGCTAAAGCAGGACTAAAGCAGGTCTAAAGCAGGACTAAAGCAGGGCTAAAGCAGGGCTAAAGCAGGACTAAAGCAGGACTAAAGCAGGGCTAAAGCAGGTCTAAAGCAGGACTAAAGCAGGGCTAAAGCAGGACTAAAGCAGGACTAAAGCAGGACTAAAGCAGGACTAAAGCAGGACTAAAGCAGGACTAAAGCAGGACTAAAGCAGGACTAAAGCAGGACTAAAGCAGGACTAAAGCAGGACTAAAGCAGGACTAAAGCAGGACTAAAGCAGGACTAAAGCAGGGCTAAACCAGGATCAAACCAGGGCTGAGGACGGGGGTCATGTCTTCACCCTGAGTTTCTTCTGTGACTGTAAAAGTGCTGCTGCAGAAGCACTGGCGTCTAAAGCTCCGCCCACTTCTGTGGGCGGCCCAGAGTCCCAGCAGGAGACCAGTCCCTGTGCTCCTCAGAGTCCCAGCAGGAGACCAGTCCCTGTGCTCCTCAGAGTCCCAGCAGGAGGCCAGTCCCTGTGCTCCTCAGAGTCGCAGAGATCTGAGACCAGAACTATTGTGATGCTACTTCCTGGTTCTAGTCTGGACTAATGTGATGGTACTTCCTGGTTCTAGTCTGGACTAATGTGATGCTACTTCCTGGTTCTAGTCTGGACTAATGTGATGGTACTTCCTGGTTCTAGTCTGGACTAATGTGATGCTACTTCCTGGTTCTAGTCTGGACTAATGTGATGCTACTTCCTGGTTCTAGTCTGGACTAATGAGTTCTAACTAGGGCTGTCCAAAATAGCGCGTTATTAACGCGTTAACGCAAATCAATATTAACGCCGTCATTTTTTTTATCGCGCGATAAAAAAAAAAAAAACTGTTTTTACTTTTTATTGCAGACAAACACATAGAAACAAAGAAAAGGACTAGTTCAGATACATTGTAGACAGAGATTACAAACAATATGTAGTTGGAGATACAGGGGGCCAAAGAAGAAACCCAGAAGGGCACATAGGAGGGGGGGGGGGGGGGTTAGGGGGTTAATAAAAAAGGCAATACAAGCAAACAGTATACAGTCATAGATATACAGTATACAGTCATAGATATACAGTATACAGTCATAGATATACAGTATACAGTCATAGATATACAGTATACAGTCATAGATATACAGTATACAGTCATAGATATACAGTATACAGTCATAGATATACAGTATACAGTCATAGATATACAGTATACAGTCATAGATATACAGTATACAGTCATAGATATACCGAAGGTAAACAGAGAAACAGCATAGAGTATTTACATGAACAAATTTACAAAATATTTACAGATTGTTTATCATCATCATAATGACACCATGATGTTTCTATACAGTCTATGGTCTATACCCACACATACACACACACACCCACACACACACATTGAAGGGGCTTTTTGTTACCAATTATTTATTTTGTCATCCATTTATTGATGATTTTGCATCAAATGTTAGTGTGTAATATAACACTACACATTGTTTTCAATAAAAAAAGCAATTGCACACAGCACGCAAATGTGTGACTAATTTGCGATTAATCGCGAGTTAACTATGAAATTCATGCGATTAATCGCGATTAAATATTTTAATCGTTGGACAGCACTAGTTCTAACCCTTTCCTGTGGAACATGTTCTGGATTGAACTGGGTTCATTCTGGGCTGTGATGGGTCGTGAACCCGTGTTGGAGGATTGCAGTGTTTTGAAAGTCAAATATGGAGTTCTGAGAATGTTCCGTGTTTTCCCTGCGCTCCGTGTTTGTTCTGTGAAATTAGACGTGACTTTGTAAATGACAAACGGGTTTTACATTATTCACTGGGACACGGCCAAAGCAAACACCATCCATCACCTTAGCCTGAGGTGGATTATAATCATACATTTATATAATCATATAATTATACATTTATATAATCATATAATTATACATTTATATAATCATATAATTATACATTTATATAATCATATAATCATACATTTATATTATAATCATATAATAATACATTTATATTATCATATAATTATACATTTATATTATAATCATATAATTATACATTTATATTATCATATAATTATACATTTATATTATAATCATATAATCATACATTTATATTATCATATAATTATACATTTATATTATAATCATATAATTATACATTTATATAATCATATAATTATACATTTATATTATAATCATATAATTATACATTTATATAATCATATAATTAAACATTTATATTATTATCATATAATTATACAGACATTTGAATTATAATCATCCATCCATTTTCTTCCCCTTAATCCATTTCTGGGTCGGGGGGGGTGGCAGTTAATGATCCTCCTGCAGGAGCTGAGTCCACAGGAGCCTTGATCTTTCAGCAGGGGCTTCAGGCAAAGTGGGGTTAAGTGTCTTGCCCATGATGACTGCTACCGTTGTAGCGGTCACAAGACACAACGGTATCATCAGTGGGAGTCATGAAGTAGGTCTCATGGTGGACTCGAACCCACAACCTTCAGGCTCTAAGGCCAATGCTCTAACAACTGAGCCACTGTCGCCCACATTTAAATTAATATATTTGAATTATAATGATACACTTGGAGTTATACATTTGAAGAGTGTATTTTTGTATAAAGTCTCTTGCTGTGGCAGATTAAGGGTCTCATTAAACTGTGGTTAATGACATGTGAGGCTGGGATTAGAAAAACACAGTTGGCTTTTGTGATGTATGTGTTTTGTTCTTGGGCAGATTTATTTTTGTGCCTAGTAGTTCACGAAGGTTCTGTAGATAAATCTTCCTCGACCTCTGGACCTGCCTCAGAACCACTGGGCCGGACCTGCCTCAGAACCACTGGGCTGGACCTGCCTCAGAACCACTGGGCTGGACCTGCCTCAGAACCACTGGGCCGGACCTGCCTCAGAACCACTGGGCCGGACCTGCCTCAGAACCACTGGGCTGGACCTGCCTCAGAACCACTGGGCTGGACCTGCCTCAGAACCACTGGGCTGGACCTGTACGGGTGACACTTCTTACTGTACGGCGGCGAGAAGGTCCTGGGTTTGATTCCCGACCGGAACAGGGTTTTTCTGTGTGGAGTTTAGCCTATTCTCCATGTGTCTGTGTACGTTTCCTCCAGGTGCTCCGGGTTCTCCCACCACTTTACCCTTTAACATTCACTCCTTGAAGAAAGCAATGTATGTTTTTATTTTTTGGATATTCTAAAATGTAGCAGCTCTACTAACCCAAATAATACATTTTGTTTAAAAAAAAACCCTATTAGTACAGTACCTTTACCAAATGGTTGAGATGCAGTTTCTATTGGCAAAATATAAAGATGTCTCTTTCTTTTTACTGATTTGCAATTTATGGCTTTCAACGGCTCCAGAAAAGTACTATGTGCTTTTCCCACAATGCACATATTAACGTATACAATATTAATACTAGCCTGGCCTTATCTATCCGTACACTATGGCCTATCATCATTTCCTGCATGTAACGTCTGGGTTTCATCCGACCAATCAGAGAGCGCGGGAGGCGGGTGTTGTAGTTAGATGTGGGTGACGTCAAGAGTTTGCGTCGAACTTGAAGGTTGTAGTTTGGTGAAGGATGTGATAGTAAAGTATTCTGCTCTGGTTCTATCAAGAAACTGAAGCCGGAGCAAGAGGAATGTTTAACAAATGTAATCACTGGAAATGTTGTGGCTCTACTCCCCACGGGCTCCGTTAGTGGCAAAGGAGATGGCTAAAGCTAGGCTAAATGCTAAAGCTAGGCTAAATGCTAAATGCTAACGACTCACTCGGGCTCATTACATACGTCACGGTAAACTCAGATCCAATGGTTTCAATCTGTAAAAGGAGTTAGCCCCTCCCACCTGTTCACGGAGTCAATGGCGCAAATCCAGACCTTAGTATGAAATGAAATGAGTACTATGGTGTGGTACGACCAGGCTGTATTCATACTTATATTTGATAGAGCTTTTCAGTTCTGAGCCAAGCAGCAAAAACAAACACATGAAAACTGTTAAACATAAATATTCTCTTCTCTTTCGACCGGACTATTGTGAACGTAACCTTGACTCACTGCAGATGTAACCAAGCAACTGCTAACTCTTCACAGCTACAGAAACTCTGCTTTGGTGTCCTTATTAATCTCATGAGCGCCCCCTGGTGGTGCCTGGGTCAAAACCAGATGGAATTTGTTCATTTGTCTTGTTTAAGTTCAAGGATTTAGCTTTTTTTGCTTACTGCGATATGCCATTTGCCTTAGCTCCAAAGCCTGTATATAGATGCTAATGCTAACCATGCTAGCTTAATGAAGATGATAAGGGAAGTGCTCGTGGACAAAGTTTTGCTCGAACTCGCTCTGGTTTCTATTGACTTGGATTGTAAAGTGAACTCTTCCAGCTCAGTAACGGTTTGTCAACATTTTAAAACGAACAAATCCGTGGTTTAGTGTAAGTAATGATCCATGTCCACTGAAATGATCCCATGTGAGGATTGACCAATCAGATTTCTTCTTTAGCCGGGGTAACGCTAGCTTGTCTTAGCTTGGCTGCTGCTAGCTTGTGTTCAAATCGGTGTGTTTCTCATTTGGCTTACGCTACGGCCATGTTGGAGGGATATTACAATTATTACTTTGGGCTTTTGGCTTTGAGAATTGTTATAGAATTACATACCCCAAAGCAAGGAGAAAGCTCAAAAGTCTTTGTCTTAATCAGAAGCGTAAGTTTATTGTACACACGTGCGGAGAGCTAGCATATACAAAAGGCAGCATACCCAGCTCTGGGGCGCAGAGCTCAACTTCCTGTTTACATAGACACACATAAAGACAGTCACGCCCACAACAGATGGGAGGGGGCCACCGGTGCAGGAGGCGCATAGGGAGGCGCCATCCCCGTGGTGAGGCAATCAGACACAGTGGCATGGGGGTGTGAACAGACAGACAATGGTAGAAATGCAGGCATACAGATGCAAGATGCGAAAGACACAAGGGTGTGACAGACAGCAGAGACCTTCACAAAGCTCAGCATGGCGTCAGAAGGTCGTCTCTGCATTGATAAAAGGCCTTTTACGTCCGTGTATTTGCTGCGGCTGGTTTTAATGTAATTACTCTAAAAACTGTCATTACACTCCCCTCTTTTGATAATTCAAAACCATTTTTGCATTAATCAGTTAAATACCAGAGGCATCGTAATCACATCACCTTCAAGCTTGAAACACTTAAATTATTGCTGTCCAAAGTGGACAAGAAAAGACACATGCTTGTCAATAAAAGAAAGAGCACATTATAATAACACAATGGATCCGGACAGCGATAAGAGTGCGGACAGTGTGTCCGACATCAATAGGGCTAAACCAAGATTAATGAGCACACTCCGCCAGGAGGACAGGAGCCAGTCCAGACCGTGAGGAGTGTCCGTGACATTGTCCACTTGCATGGCGTCCCGGAGTCTAGTCAGATTGGCTATGCCCTGTTGGATAAGACCTCCGTCCTCATCATTAGCCGGAATATATGTACAGCAGGATTTACTCAAGGCCTCCAACCAAGCAGTGTCGTCGGAAGCAAGGCTGCGTTTAATGCGTGTCATGGCTTGAATCACAGGGTTTTGAGTTTCAGAGGGAGACAATATTAACATAATAAACACGGTCAGCACGGAAAGTAGTGTCAGTGTGGCCAGCATAACAGTCCAAGGGCCCATGCCGGTCTTAGCCGGGCTACATTCGGTAATCTTTTCCGCGGGAATACTCACGAGCAGTGCCGTCTCGCAGTCAGTGGCACCGCTCCCTATGAGCGTGTGTGGAGCGTTAGTGGTCATGGCGATGTTTGGTCTTGGAGCGGCAAGACTCTAATTGCGTTGAAGCCTTGGCCTCAGCACTCGGTTGGGCAGAGTGCTCGGGGTTTGGGGTGTGGAGACCATGGCTTGAGCACGCTCCAGATCGGCCAGGCCCAAAGCTCGTTTGATGGGAGACCTCATGACAGCACGCTTCACCATGTGCCTCATCAGGAACTGTAGAGCAGCCCTCATCTCCACCTCCTCCGGACACACGGGAGACGAGACACCAGGGGGCACTCCAGCAGAGCTCAAATCTGCATTATGGCCAGAGGGAGCAGGCTCTGGAGAAATCTTTGGAATGAGCAGCAGCTCTGCATACTTGCTGCAGCTGAGCTGAGCGCTCAGGGCCTTCATGGCTCCCAGGCCTTGGGGTCCGGGGGCTGGGGAGTTGGGCAAAGGGGGGTCGCCTCGGGAACGCTGGGAATCTCTGGGTGTTGTTGTTGGCCTGCTTCACCGATGGTGGTCGCACGCCGGCCGACCTCTTCAGCGTAGGGAGCCGCGGATGGGCCTGGTCCGTCCGCGCCCTCGGTGTCCTCGTCTATGGCCCTCAGTGGCAGCACCGCACGACAGTGGTTGGCGTGGATCCAAGTTGTCCTCTCCGCGACCTTAACGGCAGTGTCCGTCACCTGGAGGACGAGGAATGGGCCGAGCCAGCGCTTGGACCGCCAATGTTGTCGTCTCGTTTCCTTCACCAGGACTCAGTCGCCTGGCTTGATCCTGTGCAGAGCCGCCTGCGCAGCCTGTGGCAGGGCGCTCCTGACCTGGGCAGAAATAGAGGACAAAAGTGCATTAATTTCCTTACAATAGGACAGCATGTCGTCATCACAAAGAGGTGCTTGGCAGATCTCTGTTCGGGGGTCCCGCGCCCAAGTTGGGTGGTCTGGCACAGAGGATTTCGAATGGGACTCTCATGCGCATGTACATGAGGGCTAGCGGCAGAGCTTTGAGTGCCATTCTCTCGCTCGCACGCGCCTCCGGACCAGGGGGCGTAACTGCAGTGTTTACGTATATCAATGCCCAGAAATTCACCCACTTCCTCAATGACTTTTGCTACAAAGTGACTGCCATTGTCACTAGAGATTTTCCCTCGGGACACCCCATCGTGGCACAATTTCTGTGAGCAGAGCTTTCACCACCGCGTTGCTCGTGGCGTGTTTGCATGCAAATATTCAGTCCATTTGGACCAGAGATCCGCCAGACCCAGACAGTATTACTTACCTTGGCATGGTGTGAGTTCAACAAAGTCCCTTTGGACATGTTGAAATGGGCGCAGGGGCGGAGGATGAGCAGCCTGTTGGATACTTTTGGGACTTACCTGGGTTGTGCGCGGGGCATATAGCGCATGTTTGGCTGAATCTCTGTGCAAATGCCGTAAACCCCTTTGTATACCAATTTTGTGTGATTAAATCACACATCCCTCCTTTTGAGGCATGGTCTCGACCATGTGCTAAAATTGCAAACTGTCTGAAGAAATGCCGTGGTAGGCACGGTTTGCTGTCTGGTCCCAGCCACACACACCATGCCGTCGTTGAGCCCCATTCCCCTCCCACAGCAGCGTCTCTGCTGGAGTAGAAAATATCAACGTCTTGAGTGAGGTAGTGTGTGTGTGTGTGTGTAGAGGTGCGTATGCCGCTGCCTTGTCCGCGCGCCGATTCCCTGCAGAGATGGGATCAGTGGCATTAGTGTGGGCCTGGCATTTGCGTACATCGATCTCTAAGGGCAACATTACAGCTTTCAGCAGACGTTCAACCTGTGTGGAATTAAGAATTGGTTTACCATCAGATTTCATGAAATTGCGGTGTTTCCACAGTGCCCCCCAGTCGTGCACCACAGAGAAACCATAGCGCGTATCACAGAATATGTTAACAGTTTTGCCCGCTGCCAGCTCACAAGCCCTGGTGCGCGTGACCAGTTCAGCGGTTTGTGCTGAATGGTAGTGGGGCAAACTACCAGAGTCTATAGTATCAAAATCAGAACACACAGCATAGCCGACTCGGTTCTTCCCAGTGTTGTCACGTGACGCGGCTCCGTCTGTATAAAAAAATCAAGTCAGGATTAGTCAGAGGCACCTCTTTCAGGTCTGGCCTGGGAGTGCATCTCTGTTCTATTGTGGCGATACAGCAGTGTGCCTCCCCTTCCTCTCGCGTGGGCAGCAGCGAGGAGGGGTTCAGCTGTGTGCATCTTTTCACC